TATTATAGTATTTTTTCTACATTTCTTAAAAGATACGTACTTCCTTTTTTTCGCATCCTGTATATCATAGAAAACTAAATCTCATACAAAATTTAGAAAATCAGATCAATTTACAAAAACCGATCTTCAATATGCTAAAAAAATCAACAAAATTGATCCATTTTTTTCAAAGTTACAACTTGTTGAAAATGAGTAAAAACATCGCTGTGGTATTTAATTTGACGGGCAGTTTAATTAAGTACATAAATAAAATTAAAAACAGAACTTGCACTCGAATGTTCAAAAAAAAATGTAATGGAAAGCCAAGACACGCGCTTTGCTAAGAATTAGTGTTTCCCCAAATAGCCGAGTTGTTTTCAGTGGGTTTTAATATTTTATGATTGTAAAAAATATAGTTAAGTTGTTTATGAAATGATATTTTAATTATCTCTATTATTATCTAATTTTGTTTTAGTATAATTTACAAACAGAAACATTGAAATAATTATCGTTGGCTAAAATAGAGTAAATTTCAAATCAAAATATCATTTCATAGCCTGGCTAGGTATGTGTTTATGACTATAAGGCATTTATTATTATTATTAGTATCTAAATCTACATTATACATTAATATTATAATCAAATAATTTTGGGTAAACCAATGTGTATATTATTTGTTTTTTTATAATGATTTAAATTATATTTCTGTATATGTAATAATAAATAATGGCCCTATATCGCTCTTACCCTCTATCTAATCAAGATGTTATACATGTTGTTGGTGGTTTTTTGTTTTAGATGATAGGCTATAATAACGTTGTTTAGGTTAAGACCAAATATGCGGTACGATATATTTTATGTCATGTGTTATGTTCAAATAAATAAAATAAAAAAGGTCTATCTTGTCTTTATTCTATCGTTGCAGAATTTAATCCTGGCAGCCATTTTTTTTGATAAAATAAATCAGAAAGAGTATAATGCGTGGTCTGGATTTTAACGTGTAAGACAGCTAAGAAGTGATGTAGACAGCTTAACTGAAAAATCAAATGTATTAAAAAGAGATAGAAGTTAGATTGATTCATTTCTTCTATGAGGTATTGCCGGATTTTGCATCAAAATTTCAAACCGCACAAGTACCTAGATGTTTACGAAAAATGTTGCATCTAGGGTTGGCACTTTATTTTTCACAATTAGTTACTCATTTTACTACAAATGTAATAGATTCTTAAACAACTGTTTAACAGAAATGAGCTTTATTGAATGGCTTAGATATATTATCTTCGTTATTATTTTATTTCTCGTACGAACCGGCAACACTGTATGCCGCTTTTATTGTGTCTGTCCTGTATTGTGTCAACTGGTCGTATATATTTATCGCTGTCGTATGCATTACAGACCACGAAAATAAAGTGACGAGGACGAGTATAGCCGTAAACAAAGCTGAACTTTATTAAAATTAGTTAAAAGTAAAATATTTTGAAGTTTAGTTTTAAATTGTTCAGTTAACTGCTGGTAAAATGCATTTATATAGTTAAATGTATAGTTTGTGGTGAGAGTGTCATTTTCTATCGAATGAAGTAAAAAAATACCGAAGGTGTCATTTAAAAATCAAAAGTTGTAGTCATTTCCAGTGAAACAGGAAGTGACTAAAAACAATTGAATACGTCAATCAATCCCAATTTATGTCATATACTAACATACCAAATCTCGTTTTTTTATATGGAAAAATATAAAAGTTATAGGGGTGAGCCACTTTTGAGACGCATCCGGTGTACACATAGACATAATATTGTGTCTGTCTGTCTGTCAACTGGTCGTATATATATTTATCTCCGTCGCATGCAGAAAGTTTGGGGCTTTTTGGTTTTACCTTATTAAGTAATTGTTATCAGGTAGTAATTGTTAATTTTGAAGTTTAACTTGATATGTCATTTTAACAGAACGTCAACGGTTTCTTGTAGACGTAACTGTTTTTAAAAAATAAAGTGTTCTCGAATAGTTGAATTTAAATATTTTAAATAGTTTTTTTCTTTATTCTTTGTATTTTTTTGCTTCCGACGACGGAAAGAGATGAACTTTCCGAAACGTTAGGCATTTTTTTCTTTATTAGGCAAATTTGTATAACTGTAAACATAACTTCTGATAAGCAGTGTCCGTTTAGGTTTAACGCAGAAGTGTTCACAAAAAATAAATATTTTATTTTGTAGATTTTCTTGCAGTGCAGTGGCGAAATACCCATAAAGGATTTTGTTGGAGATGAATCCGTCACATAGGTATAGACATTTTTTAGACATAATATAGTCTGTTTAGTGAAAGTGTATGACAGTGACAGTTATTGTGTCATGAAGAATAGGTTTTTCTGTCAACTTTTGCATTTTGTCGTTTGAAATCAAATATTCTCTTGCTGGACCGCTCATACACATATACTTATACAGGTTCGGTAATAAGATATCTAGGCATAGGAATTACATGCATTGGAATGAAACGCCTATAGAAAGTCTAAGCTTAAACAGAGATGGGCAACAACTTCCCCGTTTCCACTTCCACTACGACTGTCGAGTTAGACAAACTCCAATAAGATAACAAATTTTGGAATTTCCGCCGCCTCCCATCCACCCATGATACCCATCCACCTGCCCTTTATCCCCATTATTTTATTTCCCTTCCCGCGCCTCCGCAAAAAGCCCTCACCACAGTCCATCACAGAGTTGCCAGGTCTACCGGTTTCGTCTGTAAGCTACCGATCTACCGATTTAAACAAAAATCTAACGATATGTTCAACTGCGTTTTTAGTCTAATCTGACTTAATTATTGTTTGTTAAATTTTATTTAGTAATCGGTCATCGTTCTGTATAGTTGCAGAGTGACAAAGATATTCCTACAAATCCTTATTACTCTTTATTAGGCGCGGTATTGGCGATATGCCCGAAGAAGTTGATATCTTTTGTGCTTTTCCTGTCAAAAAAATATATTAATATGAAAAAAGAGTTGAGAGTTGCTACAGCTTTCCCATTGAAATGAAATTAATTTTAGATATCACTGATCAAAATTTATACAAAGGTAAAAAGTGACTGCTATCCCTACTTGTTATAGTTTTTATTAATATATTAATATTGTTTAATTCAATATATTTTTTTTAATATTAAATAATATACCTCTTCCTCAACCCGGATTCATCCACTCCTGGATATAGGTCTCTCCTATCCTTTTCCATGTCTCCCTGTTTTATGCTATATTTAACCACCGTTTACCTGCCACTTCCCTAATGTCACGCAGGGACGTGCCCCTGCCCACGCGAGCCTTAGCTTATCTCCCAAGACCATACTGGGGAAATCACTGTCCCATCCCATTCTCATATCCAAACCTCAAAATTTTCTAATCAGAAGCGTGGCCTTGAAGTTGCCAAACCTCTAAACCACTAAATGTCGAACCTTAAAACAAAACTACCCCAGGCGAGTAGAACGTATGATTCAGAATCTCGCACTGAATATAATATACCTACCTATTTCTAATTCTTGTTATATTTACTATATTTGTATTTTATTTGAGTGATCTAGTATTACGACACATACGAATACTAATTTTGGACTTAAATATTATATTTTATTTTGTTTCTGTACTTTTGATTTTTGTTGAAGATCTACCGAGAATTTTGTTCTCGTATGGAATTATAATCTAATAAACCCGGCAACCCTGTTCGGCTACACCTTTATAAAGTTGTTTCGGCATAATTCCTTTGTCGCCGCCGCAGACCGACCGGTCGGTGTCGGGGCGACTGGAAAGAAGATCGTACAGTATTGCCATTTCATAGAATTGCACTTGCTATTTTAGAAATGATTTCAAAGTTCTGCATGTTACATTTTGTTTTAGAAAGAAGTTGTTATGTGCCTAGAGAAAACATTCTTAAAATTGTTTTGTACTTTATTTAATATTTCATTAAGTAGGCAAGATAATGGGATTAGAAGATTCGGGATTTAGGATAAGCCAACATAATTTTGATTTAACAGAATGGCAACACTGTCCTTCGTCTTTCTATTTTTTCGATTCTATTCTATTAGTAGCCGGTAGGCCCACACAAGCGTCTTATAGACCCGCCCCCTCACGCAGAAGCTCTCTCGTATCACTTCTATGATCACTTCCCCTATACAATGGTAGGGAAAAGACACTTTATCCGTCTCTGTTGTACTGCAGTGTATTTTGCAGCCTTACCATCTTTTTTTATCGCATTGAAAAGCTCCTATTGCTAATGAAATTTTGCCACACGTGTATAACCTGCTATTTCATTCAGGATTATTTGTATATCTGTTTGATATTTGTATAAAATGTTTCTAATACCTCTTTTTTAAATTTAGTAAAATTATTTTTGACAAAATAAAATTCACAAATCTGTTAAAATTTTTATTTAACTATTAAAAAACATAATATTAACAACTTTTTTACGATAAATAAGCGTAACAGATAAAAATACTAATCATAAAAACAGTTATAAATAATGTTTATTCTGGTAAACTTCAGGAGTCATATACACATTAAAAAATATATTTTCCTATAGAAAAAAAAAACATAAAGCATTAACCCTGTCAAATATACTTTTTATTGATAAATAAATATGTAAAAATCAGTTTTTTATACAGATGGTAATGGTAATCTAGTTTTAAAGTAATAATTACTTTAAAGAATATGTACATTCGTTCACTTAGAGTGTGCCATAATCTGCCTTCATTCCAGAGGCTCATATACCTGAGGGGTTTATAAAAACGGAGGAAAAAATTTATAAATAAGATAAAATGTGGCATAAAATAAAATTGTCACAAAATAAATTAACAATACAAATAAAAATAGAAAATACAGACCAATCTAAGTTTATTTGTTCCACAGACACAATATTTTTTAGCAAAAATTTAATTTAAAACTAGCACTTTACTCAGTCTTGCCACTACCCCTCCCAGACTCAGTGTCTAGATGCGCCACTGCTTCATTCTCATAATAAAATACTCGAATAAAACAATAATTCAATTGACTATGTCTATAAAATTTTGTTTATTATTATGCTTTAATTTTGATATGCGAGTATAAACTACGGCAAGAAATTAGTCCCAACCAGAGGAAGTATTTTTAATAGGAAGCATTTTGCCTATATCTATAAAATCTTTAAATCCGCTTCTCTTAACTTGGATTTTGATATCGGCTTGATCGGCGTTTTCGCGCCAATTTGCAGTGATTTGAATGGTCGAACCTTTCCCAATAACACCATTCTCGTGCGCCGCTGCCAGTTGGTTCACTACGCGACGTTCTACTTCGTATTTGATCGATCTGGCACCGTAGCACACGTCATATCCGTCAGCCAAGGCCGACTCAACACTTCGATCCCACGTCATGTCGATTTTATGCTTGTCTTTGGCCTGATGTAAAAAAAGTTGTTTAAGTATTGTGTAAGTGAGTGGTAAAAAAGGAAAAAATTACATTATAATTTAATATTTAGTGTAATTGTTATTATAGCATATTAAAAACAAGTTTCTTTATTATTTTAATAAATATAGATTCAATTATTCAATCGAATCGTAATTTTAACGATTTTTGAATGTTTTGAAAGTACCTGTATATGTAATTTGGTACATTGACGTAAAATAAAAATATGAATATAATTTTTGTTTGACTTTTTTAATAACTGGTCACTTAAACACCACTTTTTGCGTAATATGTAAAGATTTTTTTTGATAATTTGCTGCCATGACAGTTGTTACAACTAGGTATGCTCAATTGTCTAAAGAATACAAGGAGGAATAACACCTGCAATCAAATTGTTTACATACCACCAAACAGTGCTGTGACACATATTTTTCTTAACATAGCCGCTTGAAGAGATATTTATATTTTAGATAAATGTTTTGACTACGCCTATGGTGTATGCGGCGGGATCATACTAATACAGCCCGACTCTACTTAACAAGCCGTGAACAACCATTTGGCAACGCCGCAACCGGCAAGAGATTCAGAACGGTTTCTCTAGCAAGCGCGAATGCGCGACGGGCCGTTTTACCGGCTATCGAGGCGCGTATTTTCAAATTAATTTATAATTTAGGGTTTGATTATTGAGGTTTACTGAAGTTTTATAATTGGATTTGCACCCAGGCATACAAGGACTTGGCATGGTAATTTTTGATTCCAACAACAACTAACTTTCAATAAATTGTTTTAAAAAGCACCACAAAATGCTCATTCGCCGCCGAATTTGCCGCCATTCTTTGAAGAAATCACTTAACCTCTCTTATAACCCGGCGAATTTTTCACCCACGGATATTTGTTTTTACGCAATGTCTACGGAAAAAAATTGTCCCGGTAACTTACAAATCTCACACAGTAAGACTTTTCACAACTTTAGTCTTTAACTAAACAAAATTTTCTTTCAAAAAAGGGGATTTATTTACAAAAACATAACAGAGCAACAGGTCAATGACCGTAAATCATATGGCTAAACGTGTAGCGATCGATCTGAAACCAGGGTTGCCAGATTTCCTTGTTCACGGCTTGTTAAGTAGAGTCGGCCAGTGATACTAATTAATTACGAAAAAAACGTATTAAAATGTTAACAAAAGGTATAAAACTAGTATCGACGTATAACAAAATCAAGTACATATAATATCAGAAAAACAATTATCCAATTCAATAAAAAAAACGCTAAAAAGGTGGAGTGGACTGTTTACTTATGAAACGTAACTCCTGGCTCTTTCTTATCGCTGCGGCTTTTACACTTGAGAGCTGAACAACTAATCAACATTGTAATAAAGTTTATACAAAGTTCAATACACACAAACTATTAAAAATCGCTAAAATTGTCGCTGATGACCAGCTGATGACTCATTCGTTACAACCAAAAAAAAAAAATGGCGTCTAACATCACAAATTCTGCTGCAGCTGTATATGAGCGTTACATGTTCTTGTATTTTTTAGTCATTGGGTATGCTTAAAAAAATCTGCATTTGTTGCCAACTTTTGGCATACCCTGTATACAAACAAAACTTACCCTCTTGGCCCAGCCTTGCAATTCCCTATTAACGAGTTCCATCAGCTCTCTTCTGGAAAACGGCAAAAAATACACAATTTCATTTATCCTTCCTAAAAATTCGTCTCTCTTAAAATGCCTCTTTAAAATCGGTCTCACCACTCCATCTTTAAATTTCCTGGATATAACGATGTCATCACAGTATTGAGATTCCTCTGTAAGAATTTAAATGACGCACGAATGAAGGTAATTCCAATAAAGTTACCTTTTTTATCACTTTTCAATCTATCGTCCTTAATTTTTTCTACTTCTTCTCTCAGTTGAAGAGCGTGATTGGCAATTTCTTCGCTAGCCAAATTTGATGTCATAATGAAGATGGCGTTTTTGCATTCAATCGTTTTTCCTTGGCCGTCTGTCAGTCTGCCTTCATCAAATAACTGTAACAGGACAGTCAGGACATCGGGATGTGCCTTGTCCACTTCATCAAACAGCACAACTGCATCCGGACAGGCTTTCAATTTTTTGGTTAATTGACCGCCTTCATCATGTCCAATGTATCCTGGTGGTGCACCTATTAATTTGGCTACCTGAAATATGTGTAAAAGATTAATTTTAAAACATATAAAACTTGATATACTTCGAGAACTTCGTGTTTTTCTTGAAATTCCGACATATCTAATCTGATAAAGGCCTCTTTTTTGTTTCTGTGAATGTAGTTGGCAAGCTGTTTGGCCAATTCAGTTTTTCCAATACCGGAAGATCCCAGAAAGAGAAACACTAGTGGATGATCGTCATCTGTCCATCCATTTTCTTTTCTTCTTACAGCTAAAAGCAATAAGGTCATGATACTAATAATAAACTATTTAAAGATTTCGCCAAATATGTCACCATTTTATTACTATAAAGAGGCCAATCGACTTCTTCCAATGACGTCACGCGTAAGGCCTTCTTTTCTCGATGGTTTTTAATCAGATGAAACTGTTATTTTTTAATTTATTAATTAATGACATTTCTATATCAACTTACAATAAATGATATATGGGTTGACTGACTACTGTGATGCTCTTTTATTTCACCCTTACAGAGCATACAAGGCAGCAATTTAAAAAAAAATAGGTATATAAATAAACAACTCAAACTGGTTTGGAATTCTTAAGAGTCCATTTCACTAGTCCGAAAAAGTAGCAAAATAAGCGTTTGGAATTTAACGTTTCATGTATAATTAGCTAGGTATTTTTACACAAATGAAGGAGGAAATATCCCTATTGTAGCACATTTTTAGACAACTTCTTTATTTTTAAGATTTTGATGGTCAACCATCAACAAAATATTCCTTATGTATGGACTAAATTTTCTCGATAATAAAGACATAATTTCAAATTCCATTACAATATGGAAATAGATTGAAGGTTTGTGATTACAGTGATATATAATTTATATGGTTTTGTAACAAATTGCTCGCTATTTTATGGCAAATGAAGCTCTGCAAACTTTAATCAAGCTTTAATCAAACAGGGTAATAGACTCTTAAGCTGTTTGTCCAGACAATACCCATAAAAGCAGTTCCAAAATTCAGAGCCCCAAAGGAGCCCAAGTGGCTTTGGAAATAGTAGAAAAACTATAAAAACATACTTACTTCCCGCCACTGTGGCAATAGCAGCTTCTTGACCAACAATATACTGCTTTAATCGATCTTCAAGAGGAAATTTCCTTCGTTCTTCAACTTCCTTTTGTCTAAGTAACTCTTCAAACTAAAGATATTTATTTAGGCAATTTGTCCCCCACCACAATGAATAGTTACCTTCTCTGTTTTTTGTTCTAGGAGCTCCTTAATCGGGCCTTCTTTTGCATATAATACCGCTTTATGACCAGCTTCAGTTTCAACACATGGGTTTGCACCATGTTCCAGTAACAATCGTACAATATCAATATTGTTCGCTAGTACAGCATAATGTAAAGCAGTAAACCCCAAGAACGTAGCTCTGTTATTCAATGAACTAGAGAACTCATCATCTCTAGTCATTAAAACTGAAATATCAATTTTATTTAATATTACAAAATAAATATTGCACAAAATACCTTCTAAAGGATGACGACCGACTAGTTGGGCAGTACGAGTGTGGTTAATATAGTTCTCAGTTAAATTTGGATTTGCTCCATTTTCAAGCAACAACTTAACTATATCATAATGACCATTTACTGCTGCTCCCATCAACGGTGTCCAACCCAGATCATGTCTGAGATTTACATCCATCCCATTTTTTATTAAACTAAAACAATACATCCCGGTTTCAATAATGCTTTAAACAATCAAAAAAGCCTATGCTCACTTCCTGACTTCATGTGTTAGGCCCAATGTAATCCCTTTGAAAAGTCTTTTCTTGTCTCTATCATCGAAACTACACAACGCTAAAGTTAAAGCTGAAGTTATAAAAATACTGCTCGGAAATGTAAAAATGCTTTCAGTTCGTTTTTTATTCCATTCCTTATAGTTATTTTCAATGCAGACTACATCTTTTTGGAATATAGGATGAAAACTTGGAAGGACTCGACTGTCTAAAAACAGTTGGGCTGTTTTGTTTCTTAGTTTAAATATCCTAAACAGACTTGACATGTTTTACATTGTATTTAATTTTAAAAAAGACTTAAAATTTGAATTATATCAGAATTAATAATTATGGAAATTTCATAGGTTATGTTTATATGTTTACCATGGAGGAATAAAAGAGAGGAGACGCAACTATAATTTCTGCAGTAAAAACGTTATCAGTGGGCGGGGCAAAAGGGTACTAATTGACAGTCCCGGATTAGATAAAACTCATGGTACAAAGAAAACAAGGTATGATCGATAGCGGCTCCAATTTCGTTAAGTTTGCACATACCACCTGTGACGTCATACGCCATACAGAAAAATATCCATATTGTTGAATTGCCACTAATAAAAAAAAGACCTAAAATAGGGAAGAATCACGACATAACCCCAAAAGTTATGTCAAATTATCGAGCTTGACATTTGAAAAATTATTTTCGCGTTTATTGTGTCATCTGTTTGACAATTTGAAATTGGCGCGCGGAGCTTGCCGACCAATGGTGCCGTTTATCACCTGTGACGTAGTAACCAACCTGCGCAATATCATACCTTGTGCCTTGTATTCTTTGTATCATGGATAAAACTCCAAATTAATAAAAGCAAACAAATTTGTCTTGAGTTAATGTAATGTTAATCCAGTAAATGGGTATTTTAGGTAAAGGTGTGGATCCGGTGGCTGACCTTGAAGCCCATATTTGCTGCATTTGATCATCGATACTACGCAAGCGCACATCGTCGATGTTGCCAAATTGCAGTTTATTTTCGAATTATTTGCTGTTGAAAAATTTTTTTTTGAGTGTTAATCAATAATAATACAAATTCTATAATTAATTTTATAATTTCAGATTTATCTGGATATCCAAAATTAAGGTAAGCAGGATAATGAAAATTGTGAAATGAAAGTATTATGAATATATAAAATTGTAATAATAACAGATGAGATATGGAAGTGGTTGAATAATAATAACATTTATTTATATATTTACATTAAAATTAAAAATTATCATTTACGAATTTTTTCTTAATGGGTTTAAACTTATTAGAATTGTTTTATTTCTTTCAAGTTATTTAATTTCTAGTTATTTACAGACAGGCAACAATAGTTTTGATTATTTGTATTGATGTTTTGAAATACTACCATGACGAGTCTTATAGAACAATACACGTCAATGGGAGATAGAGGTAACATATTTTACCTATAATGTTACTAATATAATATACTTTGATTGTAATGTTTGTATCATAATTTCTTAAAAATATCAAGTTAGTGGATTAATAGCAATTTTAGACATATATTTTATCGAAGAGTGTGTTGATAAGACTAAAATAAGCTTTATGTTTTATCTTTTTCTCTTTAGAAGGGAGATGGTTTGTGTCGTAGAATACATTACAGTATTTAATATCGTGTACTGTAATTTCGTTTCCTATAATGCCAAATCTTGACAATATGGTGAAGGTTGAGTTTTAATCTGAATCTGTAATCCCGAATTTTTAATAAAGCCCTTTTTAAACGTAGCATAATAATCTAGAGCAATTAGATTAATTATAGAAATCTAGAGTTTTATTTCTATTTAATTTTATTGACTATGAAAATACAAAATAAGCGTTCACGTGTTGTGCGAAATATTAAAATAATAATATAAATCCTTGATATAAAAAATAATATACCGCGGACTATGATTGAAAAAAAATAGCGTCAGCGATGACTATGAAATGAAGATCGCTGTCATTTTATATGGGAAATGTCCTCAATCGTCATTTCCCAGCCAACTGGACACCGTTTTTTCGATCATGCGGTATATATTGACAAAAAACACTGAAAAGCACATATTTGTTTTCTACTGAAAATAATTCCAAAATAACTTACAATCTGGCAACATAGAAGATGTGCGCATGCGTAGTGTCTGTGACTATATGCAGCAAAAACTCGTTTCAAGGTCAGCCACCGGATCCATACCATTACCCAGTAAATGTTACGTTATGCTTTAGTAAACATACGCCTCGTAATTCCGTATTCAAATTTTAATTTTTGTCGATAATTTTGTAGTAGCTGTCTTTGGCTATGTTACGGACCTGTCCAATGTTTACGTAACCTATGAAATGTTACTCAGGTGAGTTTCTTCGAGTCGATAACATTCCTACTTTTACAATTGTGTACGGCACATGACATCATGGCTTTTAAGTTTTTGTAATAGAAAACACTCAAATTGTCGATAAAAAACCATTAAATTTTGAGAAAAATCAAGAAAAATACACAAATGACAAAAAGAGACCACTCAATATGGCTGGCTGATCCCATTTTTGCAATAAGCAACAACTGTAGCGCCTCTCCTCTCTTATTCTTCGGTGATGTTTACTTTTTTCGATTAAAATTATTAGTTGCATAACAACGATAGCGGTTTATATTGAAAAATTAGTAGATAACCATTTAAACAAGCACTTTTAAAATAAGTTATATACAGGGTGACGCATTGTTTTGAAATAATTATCGTTTTTTTAAAAGATTTACTACAAAATCATTTTTTTTTAATTACCATGATGTTATATAACCAGGCGTTTTTGAAATCAAGTTGAAAACGTAAAACAAAACCAACAAATTATGGAGTCTACTCGATCTACATTATATTTATACATTTTAAATAAAATTAGAATGGCACAGATAAAACCGAATTAAAGTCACTCATATTTCATATTAGGCTAATATTAATCCATTTAGGCTATCTTGTATAGAAGGAAAAATGAAAATAAACATGTTAAATTTATTTGAAGCTATCTCTTTCAATAAAATCAAAAGGAAATCAATAATTGAACACTAGGTACATATATTATTCTTGACATTTTAAACTTAATTTTTTTGCAGTTAAGTATTTTTCTCCAATTTTATTATTTTCTCCAATTTTATATATGACAATAAAATTCACTTTTCTAGGAAATTTTAGATATTTTTATAATTATGTGGAATAATATTTTTATTTTTCTGTATATATGCTGTAGATATACAGGGTGATTCCTGTAAGTCGGTCATGCTTTCGAGGAATGATAGGGGACGTCGAAATATTAATTTTGACATTTTTCCTTGGAAATAAACCAAGTAAATAAAAAAACTCCGAAATTTTTATTTTTATCAGTGGCGTACTATTGTTTGAAAAATTACCCCATGCGTATCACAGCTACGCCACTGGTTGAAACTAAGACCTCTTCTTTTTACATTTAAAGTGTCTCTGTTAGGCAGACTCCTACAATAAAATGTTATAACGATACTTTCAACTGTTAAAAAACTATTAAAGAATATCTTTAATTTTTCAAAAACTTTAACACCCTGTATCTTGCGTAAGAGGCATTTCCGACCCATAGTGTGCTATATCAAAATTAATATTTCGACGTCCCTTATCATTCCTCGAAAGCATGGCCGACTTGGCATATAATTCTTTTAAATTGAAAAAAAGACTAAAATATGTTAAATTGTATGAGTGCATTGTAGAACTGCACTATATGCTTTCCAATCGATTTGAGAATACCAAATTGAGCTAGTTTAAGCACTGACAACCCCAAGGCGCTTAGTGTGCCTTTGGAAAATTATGGTAAACAGGCCAGAGAGGTTTATTATATATTTATAGCTTCTCTATTCGCTTTCATCGTGGAACTATAAATTGATATTGAAAGTAAAATTGAAATGAAAATACCCATATTATTATACATTTATGTATATTGTTTTTTTTTCGAGATAATATAAGTTTCTAATAATTTGCCTTGTAATTTTTGTTCTATATAAGTTCTTCCCAAGTAGCATTTTCACGACTTGCGACCACATGTTTACTAAACACAACGTTGGATTGGTTACAAAAAATAGTTAGCTCCCTACCTTGGGTATTAAAATAAATTTAAACGTTTTTATAACGTTGTGCCGACGTTGGACTAGTACTACAGGAAAGTAGAAGCTTCTGCGACGTCGAATAAACGTTGTCTTCTAACCTTTTTTGCTTAAGTGATCTTCAGGTGATTCGGACAACGTAGTTACAACGTTGGACAATATAGAGTTTTCCGACGTCAGTTTCAGGACCTATTCCAACGTTATGCAAACGTCGTCTGTTTTACTAATTCCAACGCTGTTTAGATTTCCTTATTCTTACGTTGGTAGGACGTCGAGTCACTACCTTTTTGCAACTGTATTGAACCATAACCTCAAAACTAAAACTAAAATTTTTACTTCATTGTTCTGTTCAGTCAGACAGTTCAGTGCTGTTTTTGTTTTTATAAAAAAAACTTAATGAAAATGGGACATAAGAAAGGTACATATAAAACTAAATTTAAATATACATCGACATATATTACCGATAGTTTATCCACTCCCTCTTTTATTTAGATTATAGAGGGCGGCACAAGCTAGACTCTAGGATGACTAAATTAGGCAATCTTGCGACTAGTATACTACCTGTTAAGGCCGAACTGCGACTTTATTAGTCCAGTATGCGACTACTCGAACTACTCCATCTTAATCTCCCAAACAACAAAGTGAAAGCCGCCATGTTGTTAAATAAGAAAATGTTTCGTTCCTAAAATAGCAATTCCTGCTTTTTGAATACATTAACTTGAAATATTTTACCCTAAAAACACGCGGAAACAATTTTTCGACTGCGAATAAATTATTCTCATTTTACTAAAAAAATTCAAGAAAATTTTTTAAAACTTCTTTAATTTTAAGGCCCATTAGTATTTTTCAAAGTAGAAACAATACATTTATCAATAAAGTTGTTTGCGTTTAACTTTTTTTGCCTTGGGTAACGAGTTACAGAGTCGGTTAAAGTGTTTCAATAATTATGATCTTCAAACATCCTCCACACTTAAATACTTTTGTTTTGTTTTCCTTCACTGCCATCTAACATATGTCTCTAACTAAATCATAAAAATAATATTTTTACTATAATTATCCCAATTTAGGATAAAACGCGACTTAGACGCCATATTAGATTTGTATTTCTGTAAATTAGGATTTTAAACAACGTTGCAGTTTGTACTAAATTAGGCTGCTAGCCAACGTCGGTATCCAACGTCGTTTCGACCCAAAAATTATTCTCCAAACTAGTGCAGACTAGGGTTGGCACGAGGTTGTGCCGACGTTGCGCCCCGACGTTTGGTCGCGTGACACAACGACGTCCAAATGCTGCTTGGGTTCTTACTTCGTGAATAAAAAAA